TAGTAAGTAGTAGTAGGTAGTACTAAGTAGTACTAAGTAGTACTAGTAGTAGTAGTAGTAGTAGTAGTAGTTGTAGTAGTAGTAGTAGTAGTAGTAGTAGTAGTAGTAGTAGTAGTAGCAGCAGTAGCAGCAGCAGGAGGAGTAGTAGTAGTAGTAGCAGCAGCAGCAGCAGCAGTAGGAGTAGGAGTAGTAGTAGGAGTTGGAGTCGTCGTCGTCGTCGTAGTAGTAGTAGTAGTAGTAGTAGCAGTAGCAGCAGCAGCAGCAGCAGCAGCAGTAGCAGCAGCAGCAGTGGTTAGTGCTAGGACCAGTAGGAGGAGTAGTAGTAGGAGCGGGAGCAGGAGCAAGAGCAGGAGCAGTAGGAGCAGCAGCAGCCGCCGCGGCGCGTAGCAGTAGCAGCAGTAGTAAGGCAGTAGTAAATGCAGTAGTAGTAGTAGTAGTTGTTGTTGTTGTTGTTGCTGTGTCGTTGTTGTCGTGGAACCCTAGGTCCCGAATCCCCAAAACCTGAGACCCTTTATTTAGCTTCGTTAAACATTGTTTCAGGAGCCTCAAACATAGAACCTTCTGAGCCCTGAAACCTTCTGAGCCCAAGACAACTGAGACTTAAAGGCCTCAAAATAAGCAACCTTCTTAGTAGGGTTTAGGGTTTAAGGTGTAAGGTTTAGGGGCTTAAGGTTTATTGGGTTCAGGGTTCAGGGATTAGGGTTTGAGGCTTAGCGTTTAGTAAACCCCAAACCCTTTTCGAGACGCCAAGACTCAAAGGCCTCCAGAGTAAGCAACATGAACACGAAGCCAGCAGCCTGGCCGGGAAACGCTTTTTCCGTGTAGTATGTTCGGCTTTTTGGCTTTGGAGTTCAGGGCTTCTTGGCGGTTTAGAAGCTTTTGTATGGGGCATTGAAAAGGGGCTTACCGTCACCTGAGCCTGAGCAGGAATCCACCGTTTAGCTTTGGCAATCGTAACCGCCCAAGGTTTGCGCACCCAGTGAGATTTAAGGTGCCATCCACGTCTCAAGTCCCCTGAGACGAAATGGCCTGGTAGGCGCCCATCATAATGGAGGCTGCGGTGCTACTGCGCCGAAAAAGCTGGCAGAAGGGCATACTGGACAGCATCAGCATATTTCCTCCTAGGCCCACGAGGCCATAGGCGAAAGAGAGAATCAGGACTGCATGGTCGTAGGAGGCCGTATGCGCCAGGACTCCCAGGCCGACACACTCAGAGCTTAAGCCGATGGCTGCAAACCACCTCGGCCCGATCACGTCCAGCATGGGAGACGTCAGAGCGGTGCCCATGACCAGGATCCTTGGCTCTCTCTCTCTCTCTCTCTCTCTCTTTTTAGGTTTTGATAAGGGTTTTGTGTCTGTTGACGAGAAACCAGTAGAAAGCAACGGAGAGCTTTAATTTTTGCCGCGGGCGTAACCGCCCCTAAAACAGCACAGACTCTGAAAGCCGTTGCCCCAAATGGTGGTCGCATCCTGGGAACAGAAAATCTCGGCAAAGGTCTTAGTTACGATCAGTTCTACCGTTCCGGGCTTCCTTTATGTATGTATGTATGTATGTATGTATGTTTATATATATGTATATATATATATGTATATGTATGTACATATATAAATAAGGAAGAAAAAAGTAAGACTTCAGCACCCAGCATCAGCGGTGGAGTAGCCGTACCGCCGCACTAAGGCATCCTGGAAGGGTGTGCATCCCAGGATCAACGCGCCGCTTAACAGAACATTCAGGAGGACGCCCAGGCCAAAGAACCAGATCCGCGCAGAAAACGCCGGTTGTAGTGGCTCCTGCAGGCAAGATGCACGGGCAATCCCACCAACAAATCCCCAAAACAGCCAAGACGAAGCAACTCGAACATGCCTACACCCAGCCCAGACCCAAGCCTGACTGCCTTCACCGTCTGCTCAACACCCTTGCACCATACTCGCATGTTCGGACCGGGGAATGGAACAGTCACATTCAACTACAGGTCTTTAAGCCCGGCTTCGCAACAGCAAGACTATAATGGTTATATTGTAAACCGACTAGTCTAGTCCACTAACTAGATAGCTTTTGCTCAAATGTCAACCGTACACACTGGCACACACACCCGCAACTCTAAGCCAAGAACTCCGAACTGTAAAAGGCGCTCTAGACTCACAACAACACCAGCCTAAAGCCAAAAGCCAAGGCCTAAACTAAGACCTGAAAACAAAGCCCTAATAGTACGACGCCATGCACACAACCAGCAATTGACATCTTCCCACATCTCCTGTGCTTCGACCTCACTATCCAGGAAGCTATGTGCAGGAGACGCTCGCGTGGCAACCACGGCATTCAAACCGCTGCCTGGGCGCTGGAGGTGATCTTTAGGCTTTAGGGTTTGAGGATTCAACGATTAAGGGCAGGGTTTGGGAATGAGGGCATGCCAGGACGGAGGTGGAGAAGATGCTCAAGAATTGGGACTGGGTGTCGACAGCGGCAGCGACTGGAGCCGTAAAGTACACTAGATCGTCGGTACGATTCAAAGATTGAATACTTACCTACCTACCTCCCTCCCAACCCACCCACCCACCCGCCTACCTACTTACCACCTACCTACCTGCCTGCCTGCCTGCCTGCCTGCCTGCCTGCCTACCTACCTACTACAAGTACCACCACCACTACCACTACCACTAATTACCACTACTCCCACTAATTAGAATAGTAGTCATAATACTAAAGAGCTGAACGATGCAGCCAAGCTTCACCGCACATCGCTCAGCACCGAAGTGTCGTTGTGCGCGTGGGTCGGCATGGTTCTATGTACAACGTGTGTTACCATGTAGGGGCTTGGGGCAGGGAGTGCGGTTTGGGGTCAAGAGTAGAATTGGAGTTTGGAAATCGCGGCGAGTGGGTCTGAAAGTTGTTGCAACGAGAGAAGCAGACATGCTTCCTGCTAACTTCTGCAATGACTCTACCCGGCTTTTGGTTGAGTATGTATGGAACCACCACATTCCTAGTTCTTAGCTCCAATCCAACCAAACTGGCCCGGTACGACACACATGTATCGTGGACATCCTTGCCCATGCGCAGCAACTTGATCCTTTGCAGCAAGCTGTAGCCGGCGGCAGGCGGAAGCAGTGAGCAGCCGCAATTACTACAGTACTGGTAGCCTAGAACCAGACCCAGAAGTCGTATCAGATGATACACACATCCACACACTCGTGCAAAAAGCCTGCGGAGCTGCGTGGCGACCGCCGCTCGAAAGCCAGCCCCGGCGACCCCTGCGAAATGAGAGGCCCAAACCTGAACTCGAAAGGAGCTTTTTTTACGATTATGATTATTATTAGTATGATTATTATTAATATTACCATTGCAATATTATGATGGTTAATAGCAGGACCTTTGAAGGACAGATGAAACAGTTCGATAGAGAGACAAACAAGTGTTCCTGCACAGACCTGCTGGTATGCTACAAACGTAACCAAAACACACGCAAACACACACACACACACATATATATATGTATCATATATCTGTCATGTCCGTATACTTCTGTGTAATAGTAACTTTACGAATACAAATATGCAAAGGAGGTGTGTGAGTATATGTAGATATGTACACATACAATGTGTATCTCTGTGTGTATACATGTGCTGTGCATGATCCGTGGTTGTACATCTATTTGTATGTCCATACATATGCACACACCCACACGCATATATCTATCTATCTATCTATCTATCTATCTATATACAAATGCATACACGAATGCATACATGCTTGTTTTTGAAACTTGGCAATGTTATGATAATTATTATAACTGCTATTACTATTCTTACTATTATATATATATATACATATTGCACAGACACAGAGTTACGATGATAGGCAGCTGTCCAACCCAGCTAATTGTGCGAGTCAGCATGCATCATGCATGCATGGCTGCTTGTCTGCCTGCATTACTGCCTTGATGTTTGTGTGTGTGTGTGTGTCAATGTACGTATGTATGCGAGCAAGCAAGCACGTAAGTAAGCAAGCCACAAAGCAAGCAAGCAATCAAGCATGCATGCACGACAAGCTAACAAGTGCGACTACACGAACAGACACACGTCAATGTAAGTGTATCCAGGGTGTAACTTTGCATTGTATACATCTTTACGCCCTCGAAGCAAAACTCTTGACAGCAAAAGTGTGCATCTGCATCCTGCGCACAGAGCTCTAAACTCAGAACCATAGACGCCATCTACCAACCCAGGGAATGGTCGGACCAACAATTCCGTCTGGGTACATGTACATGATTGTCAGGGAACCTGCCTGATGGCTGTTCAATGGCGGGCATGGGCTTAGGGCTTCAGGGTTTAAGGTTTTGGATTTAGGGTTGTCGCCGGCCCTGAACACTACGTAGAACCGCCTGACCAAACCTCGAAAGCCTTCGGCGAAAAAACGGAAGATGCTGAAGAAAGGTTAAGCTGTTAGGGTTTATGGGGTTCGGGGTATTCGAGCTGAAGGGTTTGGGATTTGGGAACTCTGAACCTCACCTTTTGAGCCTGAGGCCGCAACCGGCGAAACTCCAAAATGCTTGAACCCCCGGTCGGCAATTTCGGGGTTCAGGGTGTAATATTATGTTATTTTGGTAGACACCGATTTCCCAAGCGCTAAACCAAGCACTAGAAGAATTGCATCTGTGGGACGACTCCCAGCAACACCTCGAAGAAGGCTGCGGGGCTGAACATGTTGAATCGGTTCAATGATTCAAGGTACTCACGGTTTTAGGATTCTGGAGGCAGCTATTCCCCACCGCTACTCCGAACCTCGCCTAGTTCTCACCTGTTGCTCGCCCCGAGGAGCCGCGATAACCAGCGATGCTGCCGGTTTATAACCCCGCCTAAAAGTTTCTGTTTCGTGTATATTTTTCTGGACGCCTAGAATGCAGGCTTCAATATTATGCCCTAGGCCCTAGGCAGGATGTTCGGATCGAGTGTTGGAATCTTGCGGGGTTCAAGGGGGCTTAGGGTATTCATGTCCGAGACTTCTAGACTGCCATCGCTCCTGTAACACCTCGAGTTCAGGTGCAACTGCAAGCTATCGGTCCCTCCTTCTGGCCTCCGAAACAAGACACTTTCGAAACCACAAGCCCTGAAGCCAGGCACTCAAACTCTGAACGCAGAAATCCTGAGCCCTGGAAACACGACAGGATCAGCTGTCTGGTCTTTCTTTCCCAAGCTCTCTGCCCACACATAGCAACACCTTGGCTGTTCCTTTTAAGGCTTAGGGAGCCTGAGACCTTTACTCCCGAAGGTAATGCAGGGGCCTTAAAAGTTACAATTGGGTTTGGGCGTATACTATACTCTTACTCTTACTCTCTCTCTCTCTCTCTCNNTCTCTATATATATACATATACACACGAGGAACCAACACAATGATGTAGGCATATATTTAGGCCCCCATTATTAACAAGACCTGAACCAAAGCCCGCACAGCCTTTGAAAGCCTTTCAATCCAGCCTGGGGGTCCACCCCGAAGGTAGCATCATCGGCGAGACGCCGCGTGGTCTCCTTTTCTGGGTGGTTTCTAGTTTGGGGCTGTCGGAGGTTGGGCTGTCGCAGTGGCTCTCCAAGGAGGTTCATGTGATACTGTTAGGAGTTAGGATTAGGGGGACCCGTGGGGATATAGACCCTCTCAACAAGGTCCCCTTTTGGGAGAGCCAGAGTAGGGTTAAGAAGGGTCCCCTTTAAGGGGTCTCCCTAATACTACCGATAGGAACTGTGGTTCTTCGTATTCCGGGGCTGGCTTGGCAAGCCTAAGCCTTCGCCATTCAACATCCTCGGCTCGTCTTGGAAAGTCGCCTCACGGCAATCTGACGTCACCGACATTGAGCTGCAGAAGAGCGTCTTCCACAATCTGCAACGACAGCCGAAAGTTGAGAGCACCTCTTCTCATGTGGCTTCTAAGTAGTAGGAATTCCGATGGTCGCTTTTAGTTTGTGGGGAAAGTTTGGCACTTCAGTTTCAGGGACAACCTCATAAGTCTATATTCGGGTCATGTCGTGCCTTTTCTCCAAGTTTCACGGGTTTGTTTATCATGAAAAAGCACCCCCCCCAAATCTGAAATCCAGAAATTACAGCTCAACGCCGACAATCGCACGAACAGGATCCCCCCCACCCCCTAAGCCCTAGACAGGTCCAAAATGCTCAAGTCTCCGGGGACTGCAAACTGTTGTTGAAAACGCTTGAAACTCCAAAGCTCCTTCCAATCTAAACTCAAACTACATATATACTATATATACTGTATAGTATAACCATCGTATAATGCTAACGCTAACACTATCACTTGCACTTACGCCAATACCTATACGATTACGAGTACTATTGCTATTACGAAGACTAGGACAAATGCCAATACTAAGTACTACTAACGGTTCCTGTACTAATACTAGTTAGTTTTAGTGTTCCTAGGAACAGAAAGCTTGATACTAGTATCACTATAACAAATATTCTATTAACGGCTGTCGCCGGTACTCGCTTTACGAGATCCCGAGCAATGTCGAAAAGTGCTTCAGAAGCCTCTGGCTCTGAATCCTGGCAACTTAGTCAAACAGTGTCAAGAGAAAAGTTAAGAAAACCAAACATGAAGCGATTCTGTCTACATGAGCCTCCTAGATCATAAGACTAGCCTTGAACAGGAACCTTCTAAGGCTTGGGGCAGAGGTCAGGTTGTTAACACTTGCCAGAACAGATGTTCTTCCACGCTGGGTTCTCGCAGCACGAATCCTACTGCTTCAGGTGTACAGGGCACTATTGCTTGACACACTCACATGGCCTGA